GATTATTCTAGAATAATTAGATACACAAACATCAGATCTAGAAATTGATCGTCAAATTTTTTATTGAATTTTTGAACGTTTTCACGAGTTTCACATGATAAATTTATACGAATTGTCTTTATAATATGATGAGCTCTTATGAAATTAAGAAGTTCAAAACAAGTAGTTTTACAAACAGCTAAAACTTTTCTGTAATCAACTTGCTTTTGAGATTTAGGAGTATATCAAAATGAGTTTTTTTTTTAAAAATTCTTAAAATATAAATTTATTAAAACTTCTTTTTTTTTTTTAACTGTTAGAAATATGCTGAAAAATAATAATAATAATAATAATAATTGCCCTGATCCTTACTTTGTTAACGCCGGTTTCCTTACTTTTTTATTATTATAACCGTTCTAATACCATACAACCGCTAGTATTACGTGGTTCTTTGCTTTAGAAATACTTGAAATTTCACCATCGCTATAAGAACTAAAAACAGTATGTAATAAATTTATTTATCGTTCTTAGATCAAGATTCACTAATATTAAGCTATATACTTTCTTTCATTACTGCATTAGTAGAAGCTAATCAAGCTAACCAAGCTAACCAAGCTAAACAACATCCACGAGCAAAGGATCTACCTTGCGCCTTTGCTACTCTAGTTCCTTTATATAAAAATTTGGGCCTATTAGAATGTGAAACTAAAAGTTCACAAACCATGCGACATGCAAGTAGTAAATTACCCCAAGATCGCCTTCCATTATATAATAATTTTTTTCCTGAATTGGTTCAAATTCAAACACATTTAGAAGACTTTTCTTTATGCGAAAAGCATTATAATCAAATTATTGTATCTGATTTTTTACGTCAAATGCTTGTAAGTTCAAATATTCCTAAGAATAGACGTAATAATCAAAAGCGGCAAATAAATAGTAATGATTTTGACAATAGAATAATTAAAAAGCAGGCTCGGTATTCACATGAAACAGATGTTGAAAAAAATATGTGTGAAGTTGGCGTACAAGTTAATCAGGAAACCCATGAGGTTGGTATACAAGTATCTGATATTACTCTTAAAAGTCATGTTTATCTACTTCAATTACAGTTAAACTCAAAAATAAATGAGATAGAAGATCTTAAAAAACAATTAAATTATGCATATGATTATATAATAGAAAGTTAGAAACGTGTTCAAGAATTAAGTAAAATAAATAAAGAATTAACTGAACAAAATAATGCGCTAAAATGTAAATAAGAAACCCGATATAATAGTCAAAAAAAAATAATTGATTCCGTAATCCAAATTGCAAACCAAGAACGCCAAAACGTTTATAATGATATCGAATCATTAATTTTTAATAGAGAGC